AAATTTCACTTTGTGCATGATAAGATTACGTTGTCTGCTTTTAGCCGCAAATAAGCTGCCACAAATAAGCACTCCACATATCTAAAAGAAAATATGGACTGCTATTTTCTGGTTCGTTCGTGCAAAATAGAGAAAAGAAGAAATTGACAAAGGTCGCTAGTTTATAGCATTCGTTTTCCGCATTTGAGTAACATAGCGTTCCTCTTGTTTTAGAACTTAGCTATTTGTCATATATACTCAACATATCAAAATCTCGAAAAATTTTCGGAGCGTTTAGGTTCACAATCGAGGTCAAACTTCAGGAAGTTTTCAAGTAAATGGAGTATCACTCGAATGGAAAGTTAGATCGAGACGAAATTCCTTCACCATTAGAATCAACTTGTCAAGAGCTACAATTTGATGTATAATTATGCAATGTTTCGTTCATTTTCACCGACTTCGGTTTCACCTTCACCAAAAACTTGAGGTATCTAGAAAAGCACTTTTCACACGTTTTTTCAAAAAAGCATAAGCGAGACTTTTAGGTTATTTTTGATGCTCTACACGATGAACAAAGTGAAGTTTTTCTTGATCTCAGGTACGATTCACTAGGGTATAGTCTGTTAACTGCATGGCTAAAAAGTTGACTTTTAATTAGCTAAAAACTATTTGATAATAATCATCGTGAATCATAACCTAAAAACCGATATTTAACTGTGTGTACTCGAAACAAATTCACATCGTCCATTAATCTTTATTACTAAGTCGTTTTTGAACAGCTAATATAGCAGCAAAAAACTAACATTTAACGTTAATAGTTAGGTGTCAGTCATTCGTCAACAAATCATTTCCGTTTGTTTCACTCTTATGGCTAATATAAATATGCAGCAGTTCTCTTGAGAGAACTCCGCATTTTTCTCATCTTCAATTGTACAGGTCATTGAAACCTGTCTATATCGTTAACGGCCTTAAAACGAACGTTATCAAATGCCCATTTTTTGATCGTAATAAAACTGCCACATTTAGACATTAAAACACTCACAGTTTAAATGCCTAAAAAATGATCAAAAAATTGTTTCAATATTTTAAAACATTCATGAACATCAGATGACTTTATAAATGGGTATTTAATAGATAATTAATTATACCATTTTTAATGACTGAGAAGAACGTTACACATAAACAGATAAAGTCTATCGACTAGTGAATTTTTCATTAGAGCACCGCAGTCACACCTTATTATCTTATCTGACATTGCGTTTTGATAAATTGTATTTTGTTCGTATGAAGTTTTTATTTCCTTCTTTTTATTTTTCCTTTTGAGCAGTCTTAAATATGAAATGGATAAATATATATTAAAATCAAATACAAAAAATAAATAGTAACAATAACAAGAATAGTTCACACGAAACATGACGAGAAGTAAGAAAATAGTCATTTTGTTTGTGCATAAAAATAGAAAGAAAACATCTCTGAGGACCGTTCGACGATTCTAGTACTGCTGAAGAACTTCTACTGAAAATTTTGTTAGCTTTAGCTTTAATCTTCAACGAGAACGAAATCGAGAATATAAATTCCCGTTAAATCATTCTACAACTCGAACTATCAAAGCACAAAATCAATCTTTGCACGAAATTAGGATCGAACACACAATCTTGATCTTTTTAGACAAACTGCAAAAATCAACTTTGTCGTCCTTTTCTATACCCATTGCAGGAAATTTGCGAACTTTGTCAAAAATACACTTATTTTTGTTTTGACAAAATCGTTTTCAGGCACAAGTTTGCAAACATTTTCTTTTTTGAAAAAAGTTCACAATATTTTGCAAGTATTTTGAAAAAGCAAAAAATTTGCATTTGTTTGCAAACTTAGGCGTAGAAACGATTTGTCAAAAAAATGTGTGTTTTTCACACAAAGTTCGCAAATTTCCGACAATGAGTATTCTGTACAAAACTTTGTTTCTCCTCAATAATTTTAGCTTGTCTAAAGAATAGAGTGAACTAGATTGGTAAACTACGATATTTATGCCTTTTGGCAACACGAACTGATTGCGTGAGATATATATACAATAACTCAAAATTTAAGAATAACGACACGCCAGCATGTCATATTTAGGTTTCGTTTGATTGACTAGTTTCTATCTCACCGGACATAAAAATTCGAAAGATAGTACATAATAAGAAATATTCTGTGAACCTGAGAGTTGATTCTTTTTACGATAGATCAAAGTTTGATTTTGTCATATGAAAATAATGATTGTAGTGCAAAAATGTATATAACTAACTACAGATCATTTACGTGCGCTGTAAGATGGAAATTTAAAATACGTAGCACCAAAAAATCAGGATAGACGAAGAGAAGTACATTATATCAGAAATGAGTATCAATTATAGTTGATTGTAATTTTTGGTATTTTATTAATGGGTTCACTGTAGAATTATAGACACATTTAATTAAATATCTGAAATAGAAAGGAAAAATGAATTAACATGAATTCTTTGTTGTAATAGGATCATTACCTGGGTGTCATTGCGCATACGCATGTCAAGAGAGTAACGAGATAAAATAATGGATCTTTGAAAACGTGATAGGCGACACCGTATGGACTTTGCGCTGGTAAACATGTTACACATGTTATATCGAATATTAATGTAAAACCAAGAAATACTAATAGACTTAATATTACGGACGCTCCTAGTAACATTCCTATTCGTGTAGCTTGTAATAAAACATGTATCAATGATGTTATTGTCATACTGCAAATTAATGAAAGTCCAAACGATAATTCATCGTATTCAGAATTTGTCAAATATGCAAAATACGCGATAAAAAATATGCATGCGGACTGCCAGACAGCATCGAAAAAATTAATCCAATAATGATAGATACGATATGGTTTTGCTTTCAATGTATACTGATATAATTCAGGATTTTTTAGGGCAGCATCAGCTGAAATATGTTCATCGAATAATGCAGCTGCACACTAAAAAAGTACGAAGATAGAGATATTAAAAGATTAATTTATTAAACAAGTATCACACATGATTACCTGAGGTAGAACGGTAAAAAGACTGGTGTAAAGAATTAAATACATGGAATGCAATGTTACAGCTCCAGAGAAACCGTTAAAAATTTGATGAAAGAATAATAAGAATACATAGGCGGCATTGTGCATAAATGTATACAGTATTAATTCAGTTGTCCTTGAAAAACACCATGCTCCATGAACTAATAACAAGTAACGTAAACATTCAAATCGATCAACAGCAAAATCTTAAAAAAATGAATGATCTAAATAAGAGTTGTTAACTATAACAGTATTAGTTAACCTCCAACTGCAACAGCTTGACTGCCTTCTCGTCCGAATACCGCAACACCACAATGTGCTTCACGTAACATTCCTACATCATTCGCTCCGTCTCCTATGCTCAAGATACGACTTTTAAACACCTGTTTGGCAACCGTAACTAATTCACGCTTTTGTGTAGCTGATACACGACAATACATAACCGATTCACAGTCAGCTGCAATTTTAATAAATTCTTTTGCTTTATATTTGAAAATGGTTTCTGAATATAGAAATAATCATTTTGTATTATTTAGTTTAATAAATTTTCAACCTTTACTTACGGAGATCGTCTCCAGTGACAATCATACACACGTGAGGCAAGTGAGCAGCAATTATTTCACTCATTCGTGTTAGTGTGTGTGTTGTAAGTTCTTCGATTGATAACATCGTATCTCGTCCTAAAACAAATGATATGAATATTGAATTTGAATTTTTAGACATATTATAGAAGAAACAGGCGGAGAGTGAGGAGTGAGTTAAATCTACAGAGGAATAAAACCTCGTTCTATAGCCTATCATTATTTTATACGAAATCAATTTCATACCTAGTTCTTGTTCGGCTTCAATTTTGTTACTACTGTAATAGCACATGAAAGTTGATGCTGATTGTCTAGTTTGAGTTGTTGTTGTAGCATGAAACGCTCCGGATATTGTCTAAAACGATAATTATTAATGAAACGTGAAGTATTTATTAAGATATTTCCATCTACAATATTTTCCATTGTATTGTGTTGAACATTATGAATTAATGATGCTGCTTGAGCTATACTAAGCGCGGTTGCCTGGAAAAAGAGTAAAGTTTAATATCTTACACCTGTAAGCATATTTCATTTACTTGTTTGTCTCCGGTCAAAAGCCATATTTTGATACCAGCGAGTCTCAATGATTCAATAGACTCTGGGACACCATCTTGTAATTTATCCTCAACAGCGGTCACTCCAGTTAATATCAGATTTCTTTCGATATTCACGGCAGTTTCTGATATAGCTTCTTCACGACCTTCTAATAAATTAGCCGCACGTGTATAACATTGATACCACTCTTCAAACTCGGTTAACGTCAGTTGACGATATGCGACGAGCAACGATCGATAACCACGTTCAGCGAACATATGAATATGTTGCTCAGTATTCGCTTTTACAACTATTAAAAAAAATAATAGAAAAAAAACAAGATAAAATTTGAGGTAAAAGTTTAGAACATGAACAAATTTTAAGATCTCGATTACATCAATAGATATTGTAAGAACAATGAAATTAATATTAGATCTTTTTAGAAATTACCTTCATTATTAAACCCATTCAAATGAGGCCATATCGATGTTTCCGCTCCTTTGATAAATAAAAATATTTGATTGTTCATTCGAACAATTATTGACATTCGTTTTCTTGTCGAATCAAATGGTAGCAAACATAACAATTCTAATTCTACATTAACTACATTTTGACTTTTATCGATATAACGTACAAGAATTTTTTGTGCTGTTTTTGACATCATGCGAACACCATACAAAGACGCTGCTGCTTGGCATAAACACAAATCATCACTAAATGCACAATATAGAGTGGGAATAAATGATGACGATAGTTCACACAATTAGATGAAAATAGTTGATAATAGCAACATATCAACAATTTTTCTGTACAATACATACAATCGAACAACTTACGCATTATCAGCCTCATATTTTGGTATAAACTCAATTCTGTCGATTAATTCTGGATGTTCATTGACAATAAAAACAGTATTACATACTGCTAATGCTGTTAAAAAGTATCGAACTGTTTCATCTTCAACTGGTAGTTCTAAGCTAAAAAACGTTTTGTTGAACATAGAATTATGAAAATTTCATGCTAAGTTGAAAATAAGTCAATATAATAGTAAAGTATTTTTTTTTAACCATCGAAAACTATTTATCCAGAATACCTACTTGTTATCTTTATAATGGATGCCTCCAATTGACACTGATTTGAAAACTAATTTATTTTGCGTTAATGTTCCTGTTTTATCTGAGAAAATGTAGCCTATCTGACCGAGATCTTCATTTATTGTAAATGTTCTACAAGATATTGGATGTTCATATTTGAGATGTTTATCACTCGCTATAGCACGCATTTGAATAATACGAACAATATCTAGCGAAACATATAGAGCAATGGGCACCATGACTTGAAATAGAATAACAAAACGTAATGCAGACGTAAAAAAAATGGCAGCAACATTGTCCCATGGATCATCTAGGATAAATGACACTGATTGCCAATTAGAAAATGATTGACCCCAATAGACTGAAAAACCAGCTGATACTAAACATAATATTGTTAATATAATAGCTGAAGCCACAACATCACGATTAATAAACTGTTCAATTAAACTTCGTTTACTCGCTGAATGATGGGATGATTTTATTATTTTTGTTTGATTACCTAAAATAAACAGATAAAAGTAGAAAAAATCTGTAAACAGACATATAAAAAATCAATATTAAATGACATGTTCTCTTACCAGCATAAATTACAATACCATCTACATAGTCTGTTATTCTTAAGACACATCCACGTAATAATAAATTAGCATTATCCAATGAATATATTTTTAAACTAGGATATAGTGTTAAACGACCATGAAAATGGTAAATATCATCATTAGGTAAATCACATTGAATTTCAAAACTTTCTGTCTCAGGATATTCAATATTTAAAAAACACGATGGTATTGTTTTTTGTTTTAAGTTTGTTTCACCGTCGATTGCTGCGGTATCCAAAAAGCATGTATCCTCTTTCGATGATGATGATAATAAAATAATATCGGCTGGCACAGCATCATTGGCGTTCACACGAATAATTGATCCCACAGATAAATCTTGCCACTGACACTGAACAAAAGTATTTGTTGATCTAAAAAAGATTAATGGAGATTTTTCATACAATAATGACAAATTAGAACTTTTTCTGAAAGAGTTAAATGACTTCTATCCAACTACTCATACTTCCAAAATTTATGTCAGAAGTCTCGATGAGAACATTGTTAACTAATTTCTTTATTATACCTTATTAATTCCACAATAAATTATTGTTTACAACTAGCTACGTGAGCCTAATGAATGAATCCAGTGAGGCGTCTATACCAACGATAGTGTTTAATGAAGTACGGTTAAATGTCATTAACAGTCGAAGCCAGTTGATCCTTTAAATATGGACTGAAAAAGACAAGGCTTCCTACGTTTAGTTTAAAAGTCCTTGTAAATAAAGAAAAAGTCTAATTTTGTCTAATTTCTATTTTTTTACGACATTAACTTTTGATACAAGTAATTCAGTTGACATGTTACAGAAACCTGAGTATAATGGTGTAGAAATTCTTTTTTTTGATTCTTTGCTCATTGTACCTCTTCAGAGAAAAATAGCATTCAGTAAATTTCTTCCTGCTCGTTATTCTGTAATAGTTTAAACTACTTTTGCATAAATTATTTAGAAAAATATTTGCTTTACAGTTTTAAATATCTTTAATCTTTGTAAACATACAGCACAGAACTCTATTTATTGTGAAAAAAACGTTTTTTTCTGTATAATGAAAATTTTCAAGTTTTTCAATGTTACGTTTGCTGTTGCTGTACCGAAAAATAATAAAAAGTTTCTGAACATTTCTTCCGAAAGAATGTAACAATGTTTGATTCTAGCATATCTCTTTGTGAGTCGTTTGAAAAAAAAAAAACGTTCTGAAATTGAACCAACATAATTAAACATTTTCTGTAAAAACTTTTTCCTAATCACTACAAATCGCTCTAGAGATTCAACCTATTTAACTCTGTAAGAAATGTTCTAGTGTGTCTTGAAAAAGTAAAACATTTGTCTGAAAGTCTTATAATACTTAAGTATGAGTTACTCTTATTTTTCTATTTTTTATAGTATTCCGACTTTTTAAAGTACTGCTCTTCAGAAAGTAGCGTTTATGATAGATAGCTGTCAACTAGTGTCATAAGCAAACAAACAAGACAAAAAGTTCATATTATAATAATAACTAGTATAGAACTTATTATATTTTAGTATAGTAAAAAAAATTTTTTCTCCTAGTTATTATTGAAAAAATGTTTGCACTTTGATTTGCCTAACGTCTTATTTATTTATCATATTAAAATATATTTTCAGTAATGGTAACAAATCATACACATACATATATATAGGTAATAGCAACATTATATTTTTCTATGGCTCTCTTTCTGTCTGTTACTCACTCCTATTTGTTGTGTACAAATATTTGGTTCTGATAGATGATTTAAAAATAAAATAAAAGTTAATCGAAAGAACATGTAGAAAACCTATATCAGTTATTGAAATAAGAAACACCAAGTTACCTGTCAAACATCATCGCTAACTGTTTATTTATTCTAGAATCTGATCGCCATCTTTTCAGATCCTCTACTAAATCTTTAACAGCTGTAATTACCAGAATAACAGTTAAAGGAATGAAAGCGACCTAAATAGAGAGTTATAAACATATTAAAATTGAAATTGATAGAAAAATGTCATGCTTATTATTTTATCTCAAAAGTCAATAGGTTGACTATTTCTAGTTCTTCTTTCATGACTGGGCAACTTTCATTAATCCCATCATCAGATGGAAGAATAGTTCAAATTATTTCATAATCGAATATAAGAAAATATTTCAAAAAATACTATTTTCTTTTCAACTAGCTCAAGCCAACTGTTGGTAATTTGTGTCCGGTATTTAAAATATAATTTTATATACATACATTTCTCGAAATGGCAGATAAAGCCGGCACCCAGTTTAAACCGATCAATATGGCAAAATAAATATTTGCAATTCGATGAAATTGTTCAAATAAATTTTTTGGTAAAAATGTAATAATATTATAACGTGTTGTACAAACTTTGTTTGTCTGTGGTTTTCGTCGATATGGTTTTTTGACTCTAACCCATAATTTAGATTCGCTATCCATCGGCATATTATGGTGAACAATATGACGATCATTTTTTTCTGGTTTAGTAATTGTATTGATATTAACATCAGTAGGAGTCACAGGTTTTTTGTGTTTATTCAATGATGGTACTGTGACAAAATTACCCATTTATATTTAAAGATATACTAAAATACATCGAAAATAATTATACATATTAGAGAGAATTGATAATAAAAGTATAAAGGAGAGTTCTACTATATTTTTCCTTAATCTAAATTTTACTTAAACGTCAATTTTCTCACGATAGAAATTATACTAGAGAAATCAACTGGTCCAGTATTCAATTTATCAAAGAGCATCCAGTAATAATAAGAAAATATTAACAAAAAAAAATTATATTGTCCGATACGATTTTTTAACACTATAAATTAGATATCCGCTATGTATCGTCACTATGGGTTTTTCTTTCCTGAAGAGTTAGAGAGCGAGAAAAAGAGAAAAAGAAGAACGGAAACTAGTTTGCAAACAATAAAACTCATTATCATTCATTCGATGCTTGACATTATGCGTGTACTGTATTGTTCAAAATTGTTCAGTTTTGTATCTCTATCTTTTTTTTTTTATCATTAAATTTAGTTTAAGGCATTAGCAATTAAAGATAGGTTAAGTACATTTAAGATGTATACAATGAAAGTATTTACTCAAGGCGTTCAAAAAATGAGTTAGATACAGTGATTGAAAATATCATGTTTACTCAATGACTCGATGTAGTATGAAAGTTTGTATATACCCTTTTTGTAATGTCACGAATATTGGTAACGTTTACTAACGTATAAAACAACATTAGAATTTTGAAAAAAAAAAAAAAAAAACAAACTCTTTTTCGCTATTCTACTATTTGAACCCAAGAGAATAATAAAAAGAAAAAAAAAAAAAAACAAAAAAAAATTAAAATCACATACGTCATCAAGTTGTTCCGGAAAATAATATATATCAAGAACATATATTATTATTACTATTTTTTTAGAAAAATATTTACGAGTCAGAATATATTTAACACCTATGTGTAATTGCACAATCACTCGACTTTTGTTAACTATATCCATCATAGACGAAATATTTTTTAACATGTTTTTTTTCTTTTTTCTTTTTTCTATTCATTTTAAAATTTAAAAAATTAGAAAAAGTAATGAACATATGGTTGTCGACGAGAAAACTCAAAATGTTTCTTGTTTTTTCTTGAAATCATACATAATAAATAAACTGTCAGTAAAAATAATTTCTGTTAAGAGTCATTTATTTTTCAAAAAATATCATTGATACATTTATTGAAATCATTTGTTTTTCAAAAAAACAAATTTAAACTAAATAAACAATAAACATAGTTTCACCTATTTAAATTTTTGTATTAATTAATTTATTATTAAAAATATTCAATAGTAAAACTTTTTTGTTGTAAAATCGTCTTTACATATAAGTGTACTTTTACTTTTGATATAAAAAGAGTAATTAAAGTGCACTTAACAACGAATTTTTTTACATTTTTTTTGACTATATATTGCGTTTTATTTCATCTCTTTTTCCAAAATAAATCTATATTATGAGACAGAAATCAACATTTTTCTTACTAGATAGTATAACGCATATATAAGAGAAACTATTTAAACATACCTGATTTTTAATTATCAATCATTGCATCAAAATTTTATCTATTTTTTGTACTAAAATAATGTATACACTTGTATTGATATTTTTTTAATATGAAAAGTCAGGAGTAAATTATGCACATTTCTGTTGTCCGTATAATAATAAAAAATATTTTATGAGCAACTGCATGCACCTTTTAACAAGTATGTACGTTTTTTTTTTTCACGTCATTCGTTCTTCAGTCTCATGTTTACTCAAAGCTTTTGAATTTTGAAAAAACAACAACAACAACAAAGTCTTTTTTTTAGTGATTAGAAACAAAGAGAGAAGTGTAGGTGATGAAAAAAGAGAGATATTATGACGTGATGATGGTGAACGCAATAAGAGAAGGATAAATAAAAAATACCTGCGCGTGTGACTATGTATGGCGAAAAAAAAAGAACAGGTGAAGAGTGAAAAATATTATATGAAGGTTTCTCTCGTTGTTTCTATTTGTACAAAATAATACAGAAGCATGTCTTTGGATAAAATCGTCTTGGATGAATTAAAAAAAATATCAATAATGAGTAAGAATATAAATAATAAATTTTAATATTGATGGTTACACGTTATTATTGCTCAACCTGTATCTAGCATTTTTTTTCCAATTTGATTTTTATTTTGAGTGCAATTGTAATTCTATTGCATCGAAAGATATATTGTATTAGCAACAGATATAAATTCATTTTCAAACAGTAAAACGTGACAAAAATAAATTTATATGTCTAGAACATATATGAAAAATTTATATGTATCAGATTAGTTTTGTATTTTCTCATTTAAATCAATTAAATTTAGAAAAAGACACGCGTTGAAGAATATTGACTTGAAGATACTGTTGCTTTTTCATTGCTATTTGTTTTTGATTATTAAAATTCCATACTCAACTACAAATTTAACAAGATGCAAACATTGGCGGCGCGAAGAGATTGGGAGCATGGGGGGGGATCCAAATCTCCAAAACTAAGCCTCTGGTTCTCCGAGCTCATGAAGTATAAATAATTGATGAGCATCACTCATTAAGTTTGCCTAAACGTTACATTCACTGTAATTTTCTCAGACGTAGGCGGAAAAAAACAGAAATAAGCTATCTAAGTCGGTTAAGAAAGCGTCTTCAAAGAACACATTTAATATCAGTTTTCGGAGAAAGCAGCACTTTAGTATTCGAAAAAACCAAAATCGGAGTAAATCATCCCTCAGGTTTCTCCGAAATTCGGAGTAAATCGTTCTTATCTTTT